CTCTTTTTTCAGTTTTCAAGTTTTCATGTCACAGCAGTGACATTTGGATGCTTTGAAATGCCCTCAGGCTTGTGTGCTGCTGTAACAATAGGCACCAAGGTACTGTGTCAGCGAACTGCAGAGGTTTTGTTTTCCAGACAAACAAAAGATCCGCTCAACTTGTCACAGGCCACAAAGAGCTGCTTGTTTTTTGTTCTGAGAGCCACTAAAGCTGCTGAAGTCTGTACTGCTCCACGGCATTATTGTGCACAAATGACACAACAAAAATCACGTTTAAACTCGGATTGCCATGTAAAAAGGGGCGATGTTTCAAACAGCGGTCTGCAACCTACATGTTGATTGGAAGCCTTTTACGCATGAGGTAAAGCTTCCTCTAAATCACTCCTCCGTGAAGCAACAAGGTAGCTGTGATTTGCTGCTTCAGATCTTCAGATGCTCTTGTGTATTTTTGCTTGTGCTGAACAGATGCCCTGAGTGCCGCTCAGACTGTTAAAAATACTTTCTTTATTTTCACACTCATCAGACACAGTGGGACTCGTCCACATGTCAGCAGTGCATGGAACAGGTCTGATTTTCAAGTTTCAAGGTTACCAGTCCAGGCCTGAGCCTCCAAACACTCACTGCACCACCTATTCTCTTTCATCTAGCATTCAAACTCACATGTCGATGGATGACTTGGGGTTCAGCCTCTTGCCTGAGAATGCTTTGAAACACAGTCAGGGATTGAAGCGTCAACCTTCCTACCGAGCCCCACTCTACGTCCAGAGCCACAGCTGCACTTTTTCTTTCACTTTCAGTGTACAAATAATTAAAAGCCGTGATTGAAACATTTTAGATTATTCCTGTCTGAAATAAAAGTAGTTTAAAAAAACATGATTATACTTAACTGGTAAATGGCTACATATATAGATTACAAGTACTGGTCTACGGCTTTCTACTCAATTTGAGCACTCAAAAGGCTTTCTACTACAATCACCCAGTCACACACACATATTTCTACAGCACTCTTATCTATGACTAAGCGCTTTTATCTGGCATTCACATGCACTTACTCCAGTGGAAGCATTGGGGGCAATTCAGGGTTTAGTATCTGACCCAAAGATACTTCAACACAGGAGTCGGAGATTGATCGTCCAACCTTAACTACTATATTTACTCATTCATTGCAGTAGCTAAAGTATTTATCTTATCTTATAAATGACCCCAATAGATTGGTCTCGGTTTCAGTTGTGAATGAAGGTTGGCCTTTATTTTGTAAAGAGTTTCAGGTTGTGTTTCGTCCACAGCGTAGGAGCGTTTATGAGAGACGATGGTGATTCTCCACGTTAAGGAAGAAATCCTGGATTGTATTACTCTCTCTGACAACTGAGTGCAATGATTACAAAGAGGCCCACATGCCAAATGAGAGCTGGAAACAAAAACAGCCTGCAAACTATGAATAATGATTCTTTGTAAATGCAACGTTTTCACTTGTGGATTTGACTTTTAAACTCTTTCCTTTTACAGTGAATTTTATTTTGGATTCATTTATTATTGATAATTTGGCTTGGTATCCTGATGGGAGGACAGTGCAGTGTTTCCCACAGTTCCTACATTAAAAGTTGTACACTTTTTAATTGCACAGCTGCTTGCACATTTGCAGAAAACAAATATTTGAAGTAGCCTTTTAACATAATGTAATCTCAGAAGGCTGCTGCCAGCTATATCGCCACACCAGAGAGTTCAGTTTACTGAATTTACGACACTGCTTCAGCTCACATCCGGTCTGACTTATCACTTCTCGATGGTCAGCGTGGAGCAGAGTTGGATTTTCTCCACATTCCAGCATCCAGAGGGTGGAAACTTGCAGACGGTGTGTTTTCAGCGCCGCTGAGCTTTGCAAACATCACGCCTTCAGATTGTTTCTTTTCTATTTGTGGAAAAAGGAAGAAAAAGAACAACAAGAAAATGACAAGGTGGCCAGCAGCACACAGAAGGCTGCAGAAAATAAACACTGTGATACTGAACCAGCCAGTTCAGATGGAAATAAGCTGAACACACACACACACACACACACACACACACACACACACACACACACACACACAGACAGAAGGGTTATATTTGCCATCAGCTAAAAGGGCCACATTTATCAGCTTGATTATATCAGGCTTAACACAAACTGCTGTGTCACTTGAAAGTTGCCTCTATATCTGACATAAGATGAAGACGACACATCTTTTTTGAGAAAATGAACATTTTTGTCAGCCTCATGGAGCGAATGTGCACAAGTTTTTTTTTTTTTTTAAACAAATCAGTCCATTGTAGAGGCAGCAGGACTCTTGCATCACCTCTCTCATTATGGTGGTCTGGACGGAGTTTCCCACAGGAAAACGGATACATCCTGAGACGGCTGCCCTACTTCTCTCTCTCTCCTCCATCTGGTTTCCATCAGAAGCTGCTGGGGCTGCGAAGGTTTTCCCCCAGAGGACACCACCTCTGATTTTTTTTTTTTTTGGGGGGGGGGGGGATTGATCTCTTTCAACTGTCTCTGTCCATTACCTTCAAGTTCTGATTAAAACCAAATTTCTGCTACACTCTGACAAACTGAAGCAAAAAACAAAAAACAAAAACAAGAAAAGAAAAGTTGTTTTAAATAAGAGGGCACTTCAAAATTAAAGATGGGTATGGATATTATGGTCAATTTTTGGGAGTTCAGTGCAGTGCACAAACACACTGATGGCTAAACCACACCCACTCGAGTTTTGGCTGCTAGATGAGCAGTGGGGCCATGGGGTTAAACCTCCTGCTCTTCAGCCAACAGTATTTTCCAACCTGACCACTGGAAAGATATTAAAATTCAAGGCTATGATCTCCTCATTTGAGTCAGGTTCAAATCCTCGCTTCTGCATTTTGGATGAGTTGGTTCATATTAATGATTTTTGACTGCAGCAGGATCGGGAGAGGTGCTCAGGAGTGAGATAAAAAGGAGACTTACATGACCTTTAAATCCACACGGACTAAAGGGGACTTGATTTTTTTTGTTTGTTTTTTTAATGCTCGTCAGTTGCACTGATTCCTAAAAGTCAACAGCCAAAGTTGCTCAGATTCACTATGAGTAAGAGTGAGTCAGTAAACATCCAGAGACAAGAGGCTCGCTTGTTCAATTTCCCCCTGAGGAGTGTATGTATCCAAGAAAGTGAGCGGCTGTAAGTGCTTCATTTATCTATGCTGAGCAGGACTGGCTGTGCTTTTTTTTCAGTCCCTCTCTGAACATGATCTTTAGCATAAGGCTGGTGGAAATGGAAGGTTTTCAAACCACTTCAAGTACAGGCCTGGAGTCAGCTCTAACAGTGGTTACTGAGCCTCCCTCAGCCTGCCTGTTTGCTTAACGAGCTCTCTTGTTTAAATGATTTCTTTGCACTGATACTATCCAAAAATGATTACTTCTACTTAAAATACAGAAAAGCTACATATCAAATGTAAGTGGTTACATCTTTTTGGACACACAGAGATAATTTCATAAAGTTATTTTGATCATGCTTCTTTCAGCAGCATCCTCTGCGTCTCTGTAAGCTGAAGCTTTGGCGCTCATAGCTGAACATCAGAACACGCACACAGGATTTGTTAACCGGTGACGCAGCACACACCATCGCAATACTTTGGAAATGAGCAAATGAGGTGACTGCTTCACTGCACTGTAATTATGTCCACATGATTGAGCCTGTGGATTATCCTGCTTGGCTGGGACTGCACTGTTTCCTAAACTACAACTAGATATACTTTGGTGACCTTTTCAAAAGTGGACAGCTCATGCAGTGGACACGAATCCTTGCTTTTCTTAATACTGCTATTCTTACACCCTCTATTCAGGTAGCCGGCTGTAACAGGTTGGAGGAGGAAGATCGTCTGTGTAACTGACTAGTTTGTTTGATTAACAGGAGCCAATGTTCAGACTGCACCTTGTTTGTTCTGAAAAACATTTTTTTTTCTGTACACTGAGGAATGGATTAGATGGCACTTTGCGGTGTAGAGACTGAAATCTAAGCAGCAGGTATTGACATGATTTAGCATATTAATTCAGCATAGCAGTCATTTGGGAGTCTGATCAAATCAACCTTTTTTATTCTGAAGTGGGCTGTGAAGCACTCAAGCCTTTAATAGGAGTGCCCTCTAGTGAAAAATATAAGCAACTGCATGTAAAAGTTTCAAAAGATCTTAATAAAGTGGACAGTGCCTTTGTTGTGCCAAAAACAACAAACGTTTTCCCAAAAATTTATATTTTTGTTTTTTATTTTTTGTTTTTTTTCTGTGATTTTGAGTCATTTTGAGCCAGAAATTTGCACCATCAAAACTCCTAATGTCTTTTTCAAGATAGATCTGGTGTAGAGGGTGGCAGGAAATAGGAAATAGGAATTTTTTTTATCTAATCCCATCATGAATCCTATTCACTACAGTCTATTTATGAGTATAAGTAAAGAAATTATACATAAAACACATAGACACATCAGAAATCACTTTTTTGCACAACATGTTAAGACACAATACAACAAGTAAGTGCAATGCAGCTTGTCCTGAACAACACAAGCTCACAATGCTCTGCAAACTTAAATCATCTATTAGCTCACTCGAAGGCTCCAGGAATCATTACAGATGCCTGGAAGAGGATTATGAATAAACCTATTAACGGGTTCATCTGTCTGACTGCATTTCATTATGCATGGCCAGGTTGTTATAAGTAACCATGCAACAGATGTCCAGCTGCTTTTAGCTTTTTATCAGTTGAGCCCACTGATCACACCGCACTAACACAGTCTGCCAACATGTGGGAAGTTTATAACCACCGCTACTACTCCTCTTTAATATTGTATCATAATAATAGTAATAATAATAATAATTCCAGTAAGTTTGGTTGTAAGATTCCTACCATAGAAGGGTCAAATTCTCATATTCCTTCAATATGTAAGACGTTTTTAATCCCCCTGTGTACCACTATTATAATAATAAGTAAAAAACATGACTTCATTCATCAATAATCAAACTTTATTTGAATTGAGTAAAAAAACTGAAAAAGTCAAAGGAAGCACAAAAACTGTTCGGTCAAATATTGAGTTCATAAAGCATTCAAAGAACTTTACCAGAAGATCCTGACATCCAAAATAAAAGTTGGAACAAATATATTGTTGTAAAATAAATATGAGAAAACATATCTATAGAATTTTCCAGCATTCTGTGTCCAGCACTATAGTTAAAATAAAAATCTCTATAAAGTTGAGTTCTTCCTTCTAAGCTCTGAAGTTTCCCTGCTCATACACTGGGCTGTCTTTCCACATTTCATTTTGATATGTATTTATGTGCATAGTTTGTATTGTATTTCTCAAAGCCTGCTTTAAATTGAAATCAATATAAGTCGCCGCTGGATTCTGTGGTCCTTCTCATCAGCAGTTGAGAATGGAGTTGGCCCTTTGGATGCGAATAACCTTCTTTGAGTTGTAACTGTACTCATACTGCATGTGTTCATGGAAGAAGTACAAGTATCCTGTAAAACAGAGATCAGTATCAGTACTGGTGGATAAAAATCGTACCTTTGGATGCTTCTACTCAGAGTGTGACTTTATTATACCATAGTGATAAGTAGCAGCGTCGACCTCATCCTCCATTCCAGGAAAGTCCTCCTCAGTGGATCGTGGTTAGCCACTGTCCATGGTCCCTGTTGCTTCATCATAGCTGTGGGTGACACATAACCATTTAGTCATTCAACACTGTTGAGTCTGATCACTGACAAAGCTGCAGTGTGACCATTACAATCACTTCTATGTCTCCACATACCTCCAGTAGTCTTCATCGGTGAACAGCAGAGTTTTCCCAGTGTCTTTGATGTGCACGGCTGCATCTATTTTCCTGACGCTCTTGGGAAGACCAAGTTTATGAATATATTTTGGGTAACCATCCACAATGTTGTATCCATTCAAAGCCCACATTTGGATCCCTGGTGAAACGTGGAATAGGTTTACGATGTACACGCACTCTAATGTTTATTTAAGAAATGACCAGAAAGTGTGAAGTACTCACCACTAAATATCATAACCAAATCCTTCTCTGGGTTCTCATAAGCTGCATCTACTTTTTTGGGAATAGATGGCCAAGTGGACTTAATCAGAGTCAATTCAGGCTCCACCATCTGAGGATGAATACGCCAGTAGTATCTGAAATGAGGTGTGAAAAAACAGCACGATGAACAGCACAGAATTTACAGAGCTTTTATTTTGGTAGAGCTTAGGCAGAAAATGGAACTCTTGTTCATAGATTGTGTCGAGTGGTTATAGATTAGATATCGTGGTTAGATCTTTCCAGAGTGATGAAGAACCTGATCAGGCTCATGTTGTACCTGTCTTTGAAGATGATGGTTTCTCCTCTGAGCTCTGTGACAGCATCAAAAGTTAGCTCGGGGTCACACTTTTTTGGGGCGTCGGGCCTTGGTTTCACTTTCTTCGGATTTGGGTTTGGACCTGTGGTTGATGGACATGTGGCATTAATCTGCTGTTGATGACAACCAGTCCTCAGTTTTCTATAGGTTAAGCTTACAGTCAAACAGTACAGTACTCCTACCATAGAGGGCTTGAATTCCTTCTATGTCATCTTCAGCCAGCGGGTAGCCTGTAGTATAGGTGTAGATGGGGTACATCAGTGCGCCTGGGTCTGTGGAATGGGACATCCCCAGGGCGTGACCCAACTCATGGGCTGCCACTATAAACAGGTTGTAAGCTGAAAGAAAAAGATGTTGAATTCAAAATATTGTTGGATAATAGTAATTATCACTAGGAAAAAGTTTAGATATTGCTCAATATTCTAATTATAATAATTCTTACCCGATGAATCTTTGGTCCAGTGTTCATCCTCATCAAAGTGAGTGTCTCCTCCAATGCCTTGGCCAGGAGGGTAAGCATGAGCCAGCAGTCCATCAGGTCCATCAAATGGGTTGTAATCTCCATGCTCTGCAGAATAAAGGGTAGACAATGAGCAGGAATGCACCACAGCAACCCTTCAACACTTGTGTTCAATTCAATTGTAATATATCAGAATTCAATCAATAGTTTGTGTACCTTTTGATCCAAAGCTGATCATAATGTCTGCATTGCCCTCGTAAAGCTTCTTAAAAGTCAGAGGAGTAACGTCAGCCCAAACGTTGAGAGCCCTGCGGATGGCTTTGTTTACATCTTCTTTCTTCAGATCTGGTGTGTAATTCACTATCCTGAAACATCAGAGGATATGAGGCAGGGGAAAGCTGGTGAATAAAATACATTTGAGCAAAAATACTTATGTCACCTGTTACTTTATGGCACCTAAATGCATACCTGAATGTGACGTTGTTATTTTCCCATTTGAGGTGTCGAGGGAAGTGGTTGTACTCCCCAATGTCTGGAACGCCACATCTGGGCTCCTTCATCACTGCTAAAGTATTGTCATCTAGTTTCCCTGTGACCTTTACAAGTAAAAGAGATAGTGGAGAATATGTCATGTGAGTACATGTATCGTTTCGATTAACACTTTTGTTATTGTGAGCAGCTGAAAAGAAGCTGGATTCCCTGATAATATTCAACTTTTGAATGGTAAACTTTTAATAGGGAATATACTTTTTTCATTTCTTTGGAAATTACTGGTTATATTTTTGAGATGAGAGATGAGATAGCCTTTATTTGTCAGTTGCAGGTCTTTTACCTCCAGTTTGAAGAATTTCTGCATTTCCTTGATCTTGGCTTGAAGGAAATTTGACGACGTCCGTCTACCTTGGAGACCATTTGGAAGGCCATAGAATCGATGAAGGTATTTCTGTTTGATACAGAACAAAGAACTGTGATGTGAAGCTCATTTAAAAATCAGAAAAGCTCCAGATCAAACATTCATGCTCATTGTAACAAAAACCCCAGATAAAACAGAAATAAAACAGAAGCCAGTTGAAGGCTAGATATTGACTGAATAAGAGCTCTTACCTCAGCTAAAAGCTGCTCGTCAATGTCTTCAGATGACAGAGGCTTAGCAGAGGACTGGGCGGCCAGCGCCAGCAGCAGCACCACAGCGATCATACTTGTTGGCTCACAGTCGTTTACTGTGGCAAAGAAGCTCAGTGGGGTATTTATACTGACTTGAGACCACTTTTTTCCCCCAGCTGTTCCAAGTGATTCATGTGAAAGCACCTACCCACTTCCTCTTATGCCTGTTGAGAATGTGCTTGGGTCTGTAAAACTGCAGGGACTGTGGTTTGAATCTCCTTTGAACTCATAGTTTGATCACACATGTTCTATTTCCTGTATGACCACTACCTAAGACGTTTGGAAATCAATTTACATGGAAATGTCTGTTCGTCAAAATTATGCAACCATGTGTTTGTTTTTCTCAAACGTGAGAAATTTTGAAGAGATGCGTTTTTTGGCAGAAAATACTGTCAGCCTCATTTTTATAAATACATCACATCCGTTGTTATTTTCTGTACATTTTCTTCTTAGGTTACAGTAGATGACATATAAGTGGCTGACTATAAAGAACAGGGGATTTTGTGAATTGTGGCCTCATGATCGTCTGGGCCTTATTTTAGCTGCGCATGTTTTAGGATGCATGACTAACAAACATATAAAAAAAAGGATGCGATGAAAGCACAAACTTTTCATTTAAAATGTGATTTACATTTCATGTGACGTCATGTGGTTGTAGGATGCAAATGTCCTGCATTTGCTTTGGTGAAATCAGCTCAATCAGATGGACAGTACTGTGCAAAAGTCTTAACCTACCCCTCAATTCTTTCTTTTTCTAGGAAAATGGGAGATGGTAATATGTCTAAACACTTCTTGAAGGACATTAAAAGCTCTTCTTGGGATGTTGGCTGCCTTTTATTCTGTTCTCTGTCAAGAATCCCACACTGATTCAATAATGTTATGATTCAATCACGTCCAAGCTCTGGGGAGGCGAGTCTGTGACTGACTGCGTTCCATTGTGTGTTTTTCCATCCAGGCATGCTTTTACTGTATTGACAATGTGGATAGGATCATTGAGGTGCTTAATAAATGAAACCATGCCAACCAGACACTTTCTTAATGACATTGCGTGCCATTGTGTGGATCAAAATCAGACTGTCTGTATTCATAATTCCATCAATTTTGACAGGATCTCCCATGACCCTGCCTGAAATGTAGCAACAAACCATGATAAAGCCTCCAACGGGTTTTTTAGATGGCTGTAGACACTCACTGTTGGACCTCTTTCTTGAACTCCTCCATACATATTGACAATAATTGGACCAAAATCTGAATCTTTCATACTTAGATTCATCACTCACGTTCTTTCAAATACTATTCATCTGCTGTCAATTGTTTTTGTTTTGTTTTTTAGACTAATAATTTATCTTTTTCTGTCCTCTGCATGTCCAGTTTCCTTTGAGGACACACCCGACACCATATTGAGATATGCCAGGTTTTGGGCTATTACTAAGCTAGCTGGTCCAAAAAAATGCTATTTAATGCCCGTCAAACTCTGTTATCTTAGGAATTTTTCATTTATTGAAAAAAAGAAATGGCAACAAATGATGTGCCTTTGTGACAAAGTGGCTAAAGATCCCATTTTAAACTGTTCTTTTGCTAAGTTGTCTGTTGTGCTGAGTAAGGTAAATGTTTTGTGCTTCTATGCTTCTATGCTTTTATAATTCATAGATCAGTGTTATGTCGTTAAAGAAATTCCTCTGAAAATGGTGAGGTCCAAGAACTGGATAAAAAATAGAGTTGTAGATTCTCAGGAACTGCGTAGAGGATTTGGTCATAGCTGAGGTAAAAACGTTGCACATTAATTCAATTCAATTCAATTTTATTTATATAGCGCCAAATCACAACAAAAGTCGCCTCAAGGCACTTCATAGATATAGAAAAAAACCCAACAATCATATGACCAAGGCGCAAAATAACTGCCCATGAACTGAGAAAAGTCAAGCGTGCAGCTGCCAAGATGCCACTTGCCACCAGTTTGGCCATATTTCAGAGCTGCAACATCACTGGAGTGCCCAAAAGCACAAGGTGTGCAATACTCAGAGACATGGCCAAGGTAAGAAAGGCTGAAAGACGACCACCACTGAACAAGACACGCAAGCTGAAACGTCAAGACTGGGCCAAGAAATATCTCAAGACTGGTTTTTCTAAGGTTTTATGGACTGATGAAATGAGAGTGAGTCTTGATGGGCCAGATGGATGGGCCCGTGGCTGGATTGGTAAAGGGCAGAGAGCTCCAGTCCGACTCAGACGCCAGCAAGGTGGAGGTGGAGTACTGGTTTGGGCTGGTATCATCAAAGATAAGCTTGTGGGGCCTTTTCGGGTTGAGGATGGAGTCAAGCTCAACTCCCAGTCCTACTGCCAGTTTCTGGAAGACACCTTCTTCAAGCAGTGGTACAGGAAGAAGTCTGAATCCTTCAAGAAAAACATGATTTTCATGCAGGACAATGCTCCATCACACGCGTCCAAGTACTCCACAGCGTGGCTGGCAAGAAAGGGTATAAAAGAAGAAAAACTAATGACATGGCCTCCTTGTTCACCTGATCTGAACCCCATTGAGAACCTGTGGTCCATCATCAAATGTGAGATTTACAAGGAGGGAAAACAGTACACCTCTCTGAACAGTGTCTGGGAGGCTGTGGTTGCTGCTGCACGCAATGTTGATGGTGAACAGATCAAAACACTGACAGAATCCATGGATGGCAGGCTTTTGAGTGTCCTTGCAAAGAAAGGTGGCTATATTGGTCGCTGATTTGTTTTTGTTTTGTTTTTGAATGTCAGAAATGTATATTTGTGAATGTGGAGATGTTATATTGGTTTCACTGGTAAAAATAAATAATTGAAATGGGTATATATTTGTTTTTTGTTAAGTTGCCTAATAATTATGCACAGTAATAGTCACCTGCACACACAGACATCCCCCTAAAATAGCTAAAACTAAAAACAAACTAAAAACTACTTCCAAAAACATTCAGCTTTGATATTAATGAGTTTTTTGGGTTCATTGAGAACATGGTTGTTGTTCAATAATAAAATTATTCTTCAAAAATACAACTTGCCTAATAATTCTGCACTCCCTGTAGTGAGTGAGGAAGGTGACTGAAAAGGAAAAACTCAATGCATCATGGGAATCCCCAGCAGCCTACGTCTATTGCAGCAAAACTAAGGGAGGATTCAGGGTCACCTGGTCCAGCCCTAACTATATGCTTTAGCAAAAAGGAAAGTTTTAAGCCTAATCTTAAAAGTAGAGATAGTGTCTGTCTCCTGAATCCAAACTGGAAGCTGGTTCCACAGAAGAGGGGCCTGAAAACTGAAGGCTCTCCCTCCTATTCTACTTTTAAATACTCTAGGAACAACAAGTAGGCCTGCAGAGCGAGAACGAAGTGCTCTAATAGGGTGATATGGTACTACAAGGTCATTAAGATAAGATGGGGCCTGATTATTTAAGACCTTGTATGTGAGGAGCAGGATTTTGAATTCAATTCTGGATTTAACAGGAAGCCAATGAAGGGAAGCCAAAACAGGAGAAATATGCTCTCTCTTTCTAGTCCCTGTCAGGACTCTTGCTGCAGCATTTTGGATTAGCTGAAAGCTTTTCAGGGAGTTTTTAGGACTTCCTGATAATAATGAATTACAGTAGTCCAGCCTGGAAGTAATAAATGCATGAACTAGTTTTTCAGCGTCACTCTGAGACAGGATATTTCTAACTTTAGAGATGTTGCACAAATGAAAGAAAGCAGTCTTACATATTTGTTTAATATGTGCGTTGAAGGACATGTCCTGGTCAAAAATGACTCCAAGGTTCCTCACAGCCTTACTGGAGGCCAAGGTAATGCCATCCAGAGTAAGAATCTGGTTAGATACCATATTTCTAAGATTTTCAGGTCCAAGTACAATAATCTCAGTTTTATCTGAAGTAAGAAGCAGAAAGTTAGCGGCCATCCAGGTCTTTATGTCTTTAAGACATGCCTGCAGTTTAACTAATTGGTGTGTGTTATCTGGCTTCATAAAATGAGAATATTTTATTGTTATGATATATGAATAAATAGAATCATATAATTAAAGAGTCAAGATTATCAAGGTTTTATTATTCTTTTTATCATGAATACAACATTTATTGTAAATTGAGATTTTTAACCATTGCTCTAGGATTGCTCTGGGATAACATGCAGCTCTTTTCCCCATCTCCAGTTATGACAGTGCTTTACTTTTGCTATATATGGACCAGTCATGCCAAGGCGTGTATTTATTCTTTTTTTTGTAATTTTGGATTTTATTCTGTTCCACTTTGTTGGTATTTTCATAAATAATTTCATTATTTACACTCTTAGTAATGCATAGAGGTTAATTTTTACATCAGCAAATGTAGCAAATTTCAGTATAATGGGACCAATAGGACATGGTCTCTATGGGAACTTTCTAAACATTTAAAGTTACTCTGTGTAACTGTGTAAGCGGTCTCTAGCGGCATATGTAAAACTTGATTAAACAGAAGGAAGATGTCCTTCCCACCCACTATGTTCAAATACGGTCAGGGAACATGGCCACTTCCGCAAACGGCATAAGTTGATGTGGATGCATAAGTTTGTTGGAAGATGCAATTACATGCTATTCTATGTATATTTATATACATAGAATAGCATGTATATTTTTTATTTAGCATAGCATGGCTTTTTTTCTGTTAAATAACATATAAACATTACAGACTGTACCTTTAAAGTACCTAAAGGTCCTCAAGGAAAGTACAGACATGCTGGCTATTAGCCTACTATTACTATTACATCACGCTATTGTCTATGAGGAGTAACAAAGCTTTTGGAATTATTTGCTTCTTGTGCAACAGTGGAATTCTTTAGGCAATGAAAGCAGACGACTCCAAACTGAGAAACAGCTGCACTATCCGAAAAGAAATGAATAAAAATTGAGATGGATCAGTCCATATGGGCATAAAAAGTTTATTTTAGACGTAAGCATTAAGAATTGTGTTCAAATAAAATTGCTGCCATTTTTAACAAGATTATTAAGCAATGTTGTATCTGCAGTTATT